AATTCCAACTTTCTGCCAGACAATTTGGCACTGAGTTTACGTAGTTCGGCCTTTAATGAAGGTAACGTCCATTCTGCGTACTTTGAATCGTTCATTTTAGCTGAGTGTGAGTAAAATTAATAGAGCAGGTAATCCTTACAAACAGCAACAGCAGCGACTGGCGCACGAAGGTTTGTTGGCCCGAGACTCGTAGCGCCTCTAGTGGCCACCGCGGGAGAACAAGTTCCCCATTGAAAAGGCCATTCGGGCCAAAGAATGCAAAAAGATTTGCATTGACATTGGTGGAGAGTTTTGCAAATTAGATATTGCCAAGGGCATTCAAGTGGGGTATAAAAGACTGGAGCAAGTGAGATTAATGCTTAGATAGGCATAGGAGTATAAACTCTGGAGATCAAGAAATAGCTATAGTATCAGCGGATGGTAAGTATGTTTTGGAATTTTATTACATTTCAACCACTTAAGACACAATAGATGACAGTTACCTGATGATGGCCACACAAGTGGATGAAATGTTGTAACAAAGTTAGAAAAAATAAACATTCCACTCAAAAGCTGCATCTTTGGACTTTCTTTATGAAACACTTTTACTAATTAGGTTGAAAACTGTATAACACAGAGACGGTTCCGTAGAAAACATAATTAAATGTTTTAGCCATAAGGTAGAAAATTTCAACTCTGTAAACATTCAGCTGGTGAAAACTTAAATTATTTAACAAAAGTTTTAGTCATCAATGACATCTAAAAATAAGAAGCATAATACAAAAAACTTTCAGTTTCTATCATATAAAGTTAAAATTTATAAAATTAAACAAATTGACATTCTAAATTATCAAGACTCTTTGAATAGACAGTAAAACACAGAAAATAGCTTGGCACCATAATAAAAAAATATTTGAACTGGAAGTTTCTGACCCTATTCTTCAAACCATCAACAACTATAAACCAATTTTGTGTTTCACTATATTGTTACAAAGAATATATTCACTGATAATATAGTTTCACTTGCTTGAAGTTTAGTTTCTCACTTAACTTTGTATATTTATCACAACATAGCCTGTCATATTTAGACACTTATGATAACTTCTGAATTTTGAATAAATGAAAAAGTGCAGTTCAATCATACATTATGCCTGTTTTGACTAGGTATAATTTTAAATAAAAAGAGAAACAACTACTACAATAAACATTAACTGTACTAACAAATCAAAACACTGATCTTTTACCTTTCGTAAGGCTTTTGCAAAGGCCACAGCTTGTCGAGCTTGATGAGACGACTCTTCAAATGTTTTCTTAAACATTCGGCATGTTTGTAAAATTCCCTTTCTATAGGTTAAAGAAAAAAAAACAATAAACACATTTGTCACTTCATTAGCACAGCTTTTAATTCTGATTTCAAACATACTCATGTCCTAAACTGAAAACAATTCTTTATAAAAAAAATTAATCAGCATTTATATTATGCTCAATTATCATTTACAAAATAATGAAGAAGTAATATCCACTTAACACTTACAATAATTTCAATTAAAGCAGTCTATTCCATTAAACATAGCAATGAGATATTAATAGAATTTAACAAAAAAGTGAATTCAATAAATCCTGTATTACAGTTTACATCAGAAATTTAACAAAATAAAAACTTAGGTTTCTTAGATATTTTAATTAAAGAAGAGGCTAATGTAGTGGTTACTTCAGTATACAGAAAACTATTTTCCATTGTCATGCTGCCACACAAAAGACCTGTCACCCTACTGCTAAGCAATGTTAGCTTTTACCACATATTTATACAGAGCCTTAAATATTTGTTCATGTAAACATGATTTAGTATCAGAATTTATTTTTTTTAAACATGTTGCACTGACAAAGGATTTAACAGAAACATTATTGAGAGAATTTATAAGTTTTGCAACAGATTAAAAATTTCACAGTATACTACACTTAGAGTTACTAAGGTTTAGTAAGAATGTTTTTCTGACACATAGTCAAACAATTTTCCTATATGTCAGTAAAGTTTTTTAAGAAGTATATTAACTATCAGGTAACATTTTCACCTAAGGTTAAATATAATCATTTTATGGCTAGCCTTAAAGATACAATTGCAATTAACAGATAAGGGTGGCAATTACATAACTCCTTGTAACTGTGGTTTAATTTATATTGGAAAAACAAGTAGAAATTGACAATTTAGACTTAAAGAACATAACTCAGTTTTCAAATTCGACGACGAGGAACCCACTTTGAGACTAATAATGGCTGGAGACGGCTTAAATGGGTAATGAAGAAAAACTTTAATATAAGCTTAACATGACAGCAAATGTACAACGTTTCGATAAAGTTTTTTCATAATTAGGTACAAAACCTTGTAGAAACGTTTTACATTTGCTTTTTTGTTTAGCTTATATTAAAGTTTTTCTTCATTACCCATTTAAGCCGTCTCCAGCCATTATAAAAATTAGATATCTGTATATATATATCCGTGTCTGTGTA